GGGAAGAGGTGTACCCACTCCTGGGTCTATTCCGAAGATTCAGTGGGCCGGCTAACATATACTAAGTGTGTAAGAGAATTCCTAACATATAATAAGCACTTAAAATATTATTACTCACTATTCCCTAATGTTGCTCAACTCCCTAGACTATTAATCCTTTAGTATGGGTACCATGGCTTACTCATCTTCAGATTCCCACTCCTAATCCCAAAATCCCAATGCATAATAGGTGCTCAATAAATATTTATGGAATATTAGTGGCAACCATTTATTAAGAATGTTCTATGTCTCCAGGCACCAAAGGGCTAAGCTATTTACATGCATTATGCTTTTAAGACACAATCATGTGAAACTTTTGTGTATTTTGCCACTAATGCTATAAAATACGGGTATTATGATCAGCATCATTTTATGGATCCAGGTATGGAAATGCAGATAATCTAAGTCTTTTACCCAAGGTTATACCACTAGTAAGTGATAGAGCCGTGATTTGATCCCAGGAAGGCTGACCCCAAATGTTATATGCTTAACTATCATACAATTCAGAAATATAATATCGCGTAGCTCAATGTCCACCGGAAGGGAGGCGTGTTAGACATGCTGTTCGTGCTGTGAGGTGCGCTGAGTCAGTTCCACTCATAGCAACTGTTCCCACAACACACCCAGCCCTGCCTGACCCTGGACCCTTCTTACAATTGTTCTTATGTTTGAGCCCATTGGTACAGCCTCTGTGTCACTCCATCTGGCCCAGGGCTTTCCTCTTTTGCAGTGCCCGTCTACTTTACCAAGCATGGTGCCCTTCTCCCAGGCCTGGTCGCTCCTGACAACATGTCTAAAGCACATGAGATAAAGTCTTGCCCTTCTTTCCCCTCAGGAGCCTCCTGGCTGCACTTCTTCTAAGACAGACTTCTTGGGTTTTTTGGCGGCCCAGGAATTTCCAATGTGCTTCACCAGCACCATCATTCAAGTGCGTGGATTCTGCTTCCATCTTTTTTACTCAATGTCCAATTTTCACATGCATACGAGGTGAACGAAAATACTGTGGCTTGACTCAGGCATGCCTTAGTCCTCAAAGCAACATCCTTGCCTTTCAATGCTCTACAAAGGAGTTGCGCAGCAGATTGACCTAATGCAGTGAGTCATTTGATCTCTTGACTGCTGCTTCTCTGGGCATTGATTGAGGAGCTGAGCAAAATGAAAACTTTGACACCTTCAATCTTTTCTCCTTTTATCATGTTGCCAATGGTCCGGTTGTCAGGATTTTTGTTTTCTTTGCATTAAGTAGTCCATACTGAGGGCTGCAATCCTTGATCCTCATCAGCAAATGCTTCAAGCACAACAGAGCCAAGCCCTGCCTGACCCTGCACAGTTGTTATGTTTGAGCCCAATGTTGTAGCCACGAGGACCATTCATCTGGCTGAGGGTCTTCCTCTTTTTGCTGACCCTCTACTTCACCCAGCATGCTATCACTCCACAGTGACTGGTCTCGTCTGACAATCTAGCTCAAGTACATGAGACAAAGTCCCAGCATCCTTGCCTCTATGAGAAGACAGGTTCACAGAGGCCAAACAACTGTTCACTGGTGGTAGATCCAAAATTCACAACCAAGTCAAGCTGATTCATTCCTCTAAAACGTTTGAAGGAGGAGCCTTGGGAGAAGGGGTGAATGAATGGTTCATTGTCCTCCCTGTTAGATGTTGAGACCTCCCGTATTCAGTCCACCCCCCCCCCCCACC